AAGGGCAAGCATGACACTTGTCAGATGCCCTAGTGTGGTTCTTGTTTAAGTCCCCTGGTGCTATCTTTTTTCTTATTGTTCTTCCTGGTATTGACCCTTGGCTTACTCTCTCTGACTATTCTGTTTTCTGGTTTCCCGTCACTTGGCTTGGATAATCGTGTACCCGTCTTCCATATTCCCTTGACCTCTGGCTATTTCTCTTGACTATTCTCAGACGCTAGTCCGGCCATTCTAAGGTCCGGTAACCGTCTTTCTGTGGGTTTCACGCTGTGTGAAGGGGTCATTGTTGTGACTTTGGTCACTGTCGTGACATTACACTAGGGCCATGGACCCTGCAGGTGTTAACCCTCTCGGACCGGCACCTGATGACCGGTTTGAAGAACTGGACCATCGTATGGACCAGTTCGCGATTGCGGTACAAACCTTGCTTGCTCGTACTGCCCATCTCCAACCGGAGGAGCAAACCCCAGTACTCAGACCTCAGGAACAACCCATGGAAATGGGTACTCCTAATCATGCTACCTCTCCTCTCCATTACGGGGGTGATCCTAAAGGCTGCCGAGGTTTTTTGAATCAAGTCAGTATTTATTTTGAGCTCCATCCGAGAGCATACCCTACAGATAGGGCAAAAATAGGTTATATCATTGCCTTATTGGTCGATAGGGCATTGACTTGGGCAAATCCTCTGTGGGAGAACGATAACCCGGTAGTGTTTAACTATGTAGAATTTGTTGCAGCTTTCAGGAGGGCTTTTGATCCTCCAGGGAGGAGAACTAACGCTGCCAAAACCTTGCTACGTATGAGACAGGGTTCTCGTTCTCTTGTTGATTACGCTTTAGAATTCCGTGCTCATGCGGCCGAAGTTAGATGGAATGAACAAGCATTTATTGACGTATTCATGAACGGGCTTTCAGATAAACTTCTAGATGAAGTCGCCACTAGAGACCTACCCAATGTGCTAGAGGAATTGATCACTTACCTTTCCCACATTGATGAGCGTCTTAGACACAGGCAGAATATTAGAGACAGACCTCGACGGGTGCCAGAACGCTTAGCGTTAACCTATCCTTCATCCGAGACAACAATAGTCACTCCTCCAGAACCAATGCAACTGGGAGGCACGCGTTTGTCTGAGGATGAAAGACAATACCGCCGTAGGGAGGGACTATGCCTGTATTGTGGCCGAAAGGGACATTCTCGTTCAACCTGTCCTAACTGGCCAGAAAACTCCCGCACCTAAGCCCTCATGGAGGACAGGCCTTGGGTGTAATGTGTATGTCCTCCTTTAATGATAAAAAAGACCATAGGCTTCTTCTACCTATTGTTATCGAGTGGGAAAAGAAAAAAGTACCAACCATTGCCTTAATAGACTCTGGGGCGGCCGAAAATTTTATTGATCATAGATTCGGTCAGGAACATGCTTTCCCATTTCAGAATAGATCAACACCCTTGGCCGTTGAGGCCATAGATGGTAGACCATTATCTATCCCGTTTATCACACAAGAGACTCTTCCAGTGGTATTGTCCGTAGGTTCCCTGCATAAGGAGGTTATTATCCTGCAACAAGTCACTTCTCCCATCTTCCCGGTTATTCTTGGTTTTCCTTGGCTCTCTAAACATAACCCTTCTATAGATTGGGAGAAAAAGGAAATTGTAAAATGGAGTGAGGCCTGCCATAGAAAATGTATTACCCCTATTAAACAAGTAGGTCTACTTAATGTACCTACTATGGAACCTTTAACCACTTTAATACCCAGACAATATTGGGATTTAAAAGCAGTTTTTGAACCAAAAGAGGCAGAAAAATTACCCACACACCGGTCCTATGACTGTCCAATTGACTTGTTACCCGGCACTATGCCTCCTAGAGGCACAGTTTATCCCCTCTCGGTAACCGAGAATAAGGTACTAGAGGAATATATCACAGAAAACTTAAGAAAGGGGTTTATCGTCAAATCTTCCTCTCCTGCTGGCGCTGGGTTTTTTTTTGTTTCCAAGAAGGAAGGAGACTTAAGGCCCTGTATTGATTATCGGGGTTTAAACAAAATAACCATACGTAACGCCTATCCTATTCCTCTAATCACGGAACTTTTCGATAGATTAAAAGGGGCGACTATCTTTACGAAATTGGATCTCAGGGGGGCATACAATCTAGTGAGGATTAAAAAAGGGCACGAATGGAAGACTGCTTTTAACACTCGCTATGGTCACTACGAGTATAGGGTCATGCCATTCAGGTTATGCAATGCCCCAGCAGTCTTTCAAGACTTCATTAATGATGTTTTAAGGGAATTTTTACATATGTTTGTTATTGTCTACTTAGATGACATTCTAATCTACTCCAAGAATATTCAAGACCACCATACTCACGTTAGGTTGGTTCTCTCTAAACTCTTAGAAAATGGACTTTATTGTAAATTAGAAAAATGCCAATTTGATATAGACACTGTGCATTTTCTGGGTTATATAATTTCAGGGTCTGGATTTCAAATGGATAAGAAAAAACTAGAAGCTATCCTTAATTGGCCCCTGCCCGTTGGTCTCAAAGCCATCCAACGCTTTCTAGGGTTTGCCAATTATTATAGAAAATTTATTAAGGGTTTTTCCTCTATCACTGCACCTATCACTGCCATGACCAAAAAGGGGCGAAATTCTATGGAATGGAATCTCGAGGCCAAAGAAGCATTTGAGAGACTTAAATTGGCCTTTTCTTCTGCACCAGTATTGAGGCATCCCAATCCCTCTCGTCCATTTATATTAGAGGTGGATGCATCAGAGACCGGTATTGGGGCCGTACTGTCTCAACGTCCATCTGATGATCAACCATTACATCCCTGTGGATTTTTTTCTAAGAAATTAACTGAGACAGAAAAGAGATATGACATTGGGGACAGGGAGTTATTGGCTATTATCTCTGCCCTCAAGGAGTGGCGCCATCTGTTAGAAGGGTCTACCGTTCCCATCACCATCCTTACGGATCACAAAAACCTTTTGTATTTTGGAGAAACTAAAAGAATGTCAGATAGACAGATTAGATGGTCTTTATTTTTAACACGATTCAATTACATAGTAACTTACAGACCAGGATCAAAGAACACTAAGGCTGATGCCTTATCCCGTCAATATGAACACTTATCACCTACAATAACACACCTCTCTTCCATAATCCCATCCAACCACATAATCGCAACAGTCCGTGCCAAAATTTCTTCAGGGTTAATGGAAGAGTTATCTAGGTTTCAGGATCAGACCTCATTGACTATTCCCAGGGGAAAACTATACGTACCCCTGTCTTATCGAAAAAAGGTTTTATTCCTTGTACACAGCTCCAAATTAGCAGGACATCCAGGTATTCATAAAACTGAGTCTTTACTTGAAGAACAGTTTTGGTGGCCTTCATACAAGAAGGACGTTCGCGAGTTCGTTCTTGCTTGTAGGGTCTGTGCTTCCACTAAATCATCCAAAGCTCGTCCTTTGGGCCTCCTTTTGCCATTGTCCATTCCCGATAAACCCTGGACTAGTATTGCCATGGATTTTATAGTGGATCTGCCCCCTTCCAGGAACCATAAGGTTATATTGACTATAATCGACAGATTCTCTAAGATGACTCATCTCATCCCGCTAATCAAATTACCCTCCTCTTCTGAACTGGCCTCTTTATTTATAAAAGAGGTAGTACGTTTACATGGCATACCTCAGGATATTACATCTGACAGGGGTCCACAGTTCATTTCACGGTTCTGGAGGGCATTTTGTGACCAATTAGGTATTGTCCTTAACCTTTCTTCTTCTTATCATCCCCAATCTAATGGGGTTACGGAAAGGATGAATCAATGCCTGGAGCAATACATCCGCTGTTTCACTTCTGAGCACCAAGACGATTGGGTGGAATTACTTCCATGGGCTGAATTTGCCCATAATAATCTAATACACGAATCCACTCAACATAGTCCCTTTTTTGTTAATTATGGGTTTAATCCTACAACTTTGCCGAGTTCTTTTTCGTCTACAGGAGTGCCTAGTGTTGACAGTACTCTTCACAATATGAAAGACACTTGGCTAGGGGTTAAACATATCTTAAATCAAAAGACACAGATTCAAAAGAAAAATGCGGATAAATGACGTAGGGCTGCTCCTACGTTCATGGCAGGAGACAGGGTTTGGTTAAGTACCCGTAACATAAAGTTGAAGGTACCCTCGATGAAATTTGCTCCCCGTTTCATAGGTCCGTTTCAGATACTCAAACGCATTAATCCGGTCTGTTATAGTTTGAGATTAAAGAATACTATGAAAATTCCTAACACTTTTCATGTTTCCCTTCTCAAACCGTTCATTTGTAATCGTTATACGCAGATTGTCTCCGCTCCTCCTACCACACCAGTGGAGGATCATGTCAAATACGAAGTTAAATCTATATTAGATTCCCGGATTTCTAGAGGTAGATTACAGTATCTCCTTGATTGGAAAGGTTACGGTCCCGAGGAGCGATCGTGGGTCAATGCATCAGACGTTCACGCCCCTCGCCTGATTCGTCTGTATGAAAAGCGGCGCTCTTGTGGGTTCGGTTCCACCCCGCCAGTCCCGCGCAGCGCCAGGTCCTCCTCCGATCCTTCCGGGGGGCGGCTCAGTGATTCTGACGCTCGGAACATGCCCACATTTATGACGCGGTGCATGCACGCCGACGTCACATCGAAAAAGGCGAAAAAGGCGCAAAAATTCAAACGTGGCCACGCTCCCGGACTTTTTGGGGGCGTGGCTACGGAATTAAAGCCAAAGAACCCACACTATAAAAGGGCAAGCATGACACTTGTCAGATGCCCTAGTGTGGTTCTTGTTTAAGTCCCCTGGTGCTATCTTTTTCTTATTGTTCTTCCTGGTATTGACCCTTGGCTTACTCTCTCTGACTATTCTGTTTTCTGGTTTCCCGTCACTTGGCTTGGATAATCGTGTACCCGTCTTCCATATTCCCTTGACCTCTGGCTATTTCTCTTGACTATTCTCAGACGCTAGTCCGGCCATTCTAAGGTCCGGTAACTGTCTTTCTGTGGGTTTCATGCTGTGTGAAGGGGTCATTGTTGTGACTTTGGTCACTGTCGTGACACAGCGCAGTTGTAAACATTCTAATTGTTTTGGTGCTAAACTGTTAAATAGTGCATTTTGGGGGTGCACTTCAAATCTGAGAGTCAAATAGAAGAGTCAAATAGTGCGCTTACTGAGCAGTTGTAAAAATTCTAATTGTTTTGGTGCTAAACTGCTAAATAGTGCATTTGCGGTCTGCACTTCATATCTGAGAGTCAAATAGAAACCTCAAATACTGTGGTTACAGCGCAATTGTAAACATTCTAATTGTTTTGGTGCTAAACTGCTAAATAGTACATTTTGGGGGTGCACTTCTTATCTGAGAGTCAAATAGAAGCGTCAAATAGTGCGCTTACTGCGCAGTTGTAAAAATCCTAATTGTTTTGCTGCTAAACTGCTAAATAGTACATTTTGGGGCCTGTTCTTCATATCTGAGAGTTAAATAGTTGCGTGTAATAGTGCGCTTACTGCACAGTTGTAAAAATTTGAATTGTTTTGGTGCTAAACTGCTAATTAGCAAATTTGCGTCCTGCACTTCATATCTGAGAGTCAAATAGAAACATCAAGTACTGCAGTTACAGCGCATTTGTAAACATTGTAATTGCTTTTTGCTAAACTTCTAAATAGTACATTTTGGGGGTGCATTTCATATCCGAGAGTCAAATAGAAGCAGCAAATAGTGCGCTTACTGCGCAGTTGTAAAAATTCTAATTGTTTTGTTGCTAAACTGCTAAATAGTGCATTTGAGGCCTGCACTTCATATTTGAGAGTCAAATAGAAGCGTCAAATAGTGCGCTTACTGCACAGCTGTAAAAGTTCTAATTGTTTTGGTGCTAAACTGCTAAATAGTACATTTTGGGGCCTGTTCGTCATATCTGAGAGTCACATAGAAGTGTCTAATAGTGTGCTTACATTGAAGTTGTACACATTCTTATTGTTTTGGTGCTAAACTGCTGAATAGTAGATTATGGGCCCTGCTCTTTATATCCGCGAGTCAAACAGAAGCGTCTAATAGTGCGCTTACTGCGCAGTTGTAAATATTCTAATTGTTTTGGTGCTAAACTGCTAAATAATACATTTTGGGGGTGCACTTCATATCTGAGAGTCAAATAGAAGCGTTAAATAACATGGTTATTGCGCAGTTGTAAAAATTATAATTGTTTTGGTGCTAAACTGCTAAATAGTAGATTTTGGGGCCTGCTCTTCATATCTGAGAGTCAAATAAAGGCATCTAATAGTGCACTTACTGCGCAGTTGTAAACATTCTAATTGTTTTGGTGCTAAACTGTTAAATAGTACATTTTGGGGGTGCACTTCATATCTGAGAGTCAAATAGAAGAGTCAGATAGTGTGCTTACTGAGCAGTTGTAAAAATTCTAATTGTTTTGGTGCTAAACTGCTAAATATTGCATTTGCGGTCTGCACTTCATATCTGAGAGTCAAATAGAAAGATCAAATACTGCGGTTACAGCGCAATTGTAAACATTATAATTGTTTTTTGCAAACTGCTAAATAGTACATTTTGGGGGTGCACTTCATATCTGAGAGTCAAATAGAAGCGTTAAATAGTATGCTTATTGCGCAGTTGTAAAAATTCTAATTGTTTTGGTGCTAAACTGCTAAATAGTACATTTTGGGGCCTGCTCTTCATATCTGAGAGTCAAATAAAGCCATCTAATAGTGCACTTACTGTGCAGTTGTAAACATTCTAATTGTTTTGGTGCTAAACTGTTAAATAGTACATTTTGGGGGTGCACTTCATATCTGAGAGTCAAATAGAAGAGTCAAATAGTGCGCTTACTGAGCAGTTGTAAAAATTCTAATTGTTTTGGTGCTAAACTGCTAAATAGTGCATTTGCGGTCTGCACTTCATATCTGAGAGTCAAATAGAAACATCAAATACTGCGGTTACAGCGCAATTGTAAACATTCTAATTGTTTTGGTGCAAAACTGCTAAATAGTACATTTTGGGGCATGTTTTTCATATGTGAGAGTCACATAGAAGCGTCTAATAGTGCGCTTACATTGAAGTTATACACATTCTTATTGTTTTGGTGCTAAACTGCTAAATAGTAGATTATGGGCCCTGCTCTTTATATCCGAGAGTCAAATAGAAGCGTCTAATAGTGTGTTTACTACACAGTTGTAAACATTCCAATTGTTTTGGTGCTAAATTGCTAAATAGTACATTTTGGGGCCTGCTCTTCATATCTGAGAGTCAAACAGAAGTGTCAAATAGTGTGCTTACTGCGCAGTTGTAAAAATTCTAATTGTTTTGCTGCTAAGCTACTAAATAGTACATTTTGGGGGTGCACTTCATATCTGAGAGTCAAATAGAAGCGTTCAATAGTGTGCTTCCTGCACAGTTGAAAAAATTCTAATTGTTTTGGTGCTAAACTGCTAAATAGTAAATTTGCGGCCTGCACTTCATATCTGAGAGTCAAACAGAAGTGTCAAATACTGTGGTTACAGCGCAATTGTAAACATTCTAATTGTTTTGGTCTAAACTGTTAAATTGTACATTTTGGGGATGCACTTCATATCTGAGAGTCAAATAGAAGAGTCAAATAGTGCGCTTACTGAGCATTTGTAAAAATTCTAATTGTTTTGGTGCTAAACTGCTAAATAGTAGATTATGGGCCCTGCTCTTTATATCTGAGAGTCAAATAGAAGCGTCTAATAGTGCGCTTACTGCGCAGTTGTAAACATTCTAATTGTTTTGGTGCTAAACTGCTAAATAGTACATTTTGGGGCCTGCTCTTCATATCTGAGAGTCAAATAGAAGCATCAAATAGTGCGCTTACTGCGCAGTTGTAAACATTCTAATTGTTTTGGTGCTAAACTGCTAAATAGTACATTTTGGGGGTGCACCTCATATCTGAGAGTCAAAAAGAAGAGTAAAATAGTGCGCTTAATGCACATTTGTAAAAATTCTAATTGTTTTGCTGTTAAACTGCTAAATAGTGCATTTTGGGAGTGCACTTCATATCTGAGAGTCAAATAGAAGCGTCAAACAGTGTGCTTACTGCGCAGTTGTAAAAATTCTAATTGTTTTGGTGCTAAACTGCTAAATAGTACATTTGCAGCCTGCACTTCATATCTGAGAGTCAAACAGAAGTGTCAAATACTGTGGTTACAGCGCAATTGTAAACATTCTAATTGTTTTGGTGCTAAACTGCTAAATTGTACATTTTGGGGGTCCACTTCATATCTGAAAGTCAAATAGAAGCATGAAATAGTGGGCGTACAGCGCAGTTGTAAAAATTCTGATTGTTTTGGTGCTATACTGCTAAATAGTACATTTGCGGCCTGTACTTCATATCTGTGAGTCATACAGAAGTGTCAAATACTGTGGTTACAGCGCAATTGTAAACATTCTAATTGTTTTGGAGCTAAACTGCTATATAGTACATTTGCGGCCTGCACTTCATATCTGAGAGTCAAATAGAAGCGTCAAATAGTGCGCTTACTGCGCAGTTGTAAAAATTCTAATTGTTTTGGTGCTAAACTGCTAAATAGTATATTTTGGGGCCTGCACTTCACATCTGAGAGTCCAATAGAAGCGTCTAATAGTGCGCTTACTGCGCAGTTGTAAACATTCTAATTCTTTTGGTGCTAAACTGCTAAATAGTACATTTTGGGGGTGCACCTCATATGTGAGAGTCAAATAAAAGCGTCAAATAGTGCGCTTATTGCACAGTTGTAAAAATTCTAATTGTTTTGGTGCTAAATTGCTAAATAGTACATTTGCGACCTGCACTTCATATCTTTTCAAATAATTTTTATTAAAGTTTTTAAAATTTTTGTATAACAATATATATTTTTGTATAACAATGTATATGGCAAAAAATGTTGTACATCAATGCACTTTAACAATAAATATATCAAAGACCATAAACTGTTTTGATTTTTTTCTTCCCATTTGTCCCAATTATATTTTAGTATTGGGAAACCATGCATATTAGCTTTATGTGATAATTCATGTGCCTTGTTTTCTAGAATCAAATTAAAAACTTCTCTGAGAGATGGCACATTTTGGGACTTCCAATGTCTAGGTAAACAGGATGTAGCAGCGATCAGAATGTGGCCTATGATTATTTTATCTCATCTATTAACGGACTCCGGGAGTTTTTTAAATAAGGCTAGTTCCGAGGTTAAGATGCCAATGGTTCCGTTCACTTTAATAATTAGATCATGAATCATTTTCCAATAATTTATTAACTTGGGGCAGAACCACCAGATATGGGTCATATTGCCCACTCCCCCACAGTCTCTCCAACACCGGTCAGAATACATATTGTTCATGTTATG